AATAATAATAAACGTAAGATTTAGAATGTTTGTGCCAATGAGAACGTTTTGCTTGTTTGACTGCTTCAGAACATGTGGGAGACTCTGTGGCTCAGAACGATGTGCATACGGATAGCCAAACATTCCGTGTGTTTGGGCACTAATGTTTCAGGTGCTTAAAAAGATTGGTTGTGTTGCCACCTGTTGTTTGAACAGAATGTTTGCAAAGTTTGCAAGCACAATGTGCCTACCAAATCAAAGTTAATCTGCTGTACAGTGGTTCTTGCAGTGAATGGTATCGTGGGTACGATTGTAACAGAGTATGATAAAATATCGCCAAACTGCCCACCACTAAGGTAAATAAGCCTTTCAGGCTGGTACTCGCTAAGGCTGTCCTGGATAATTATATTCTGTGGAGGGTCAAATCTGAGCTTCACCATGTCATCAGGCGCCATTTTTAATAACTAAAAATTAAAGCTACAGTATAGGGCTGCATAATATCACATTGTGATATGTCCACAAGTAATATTGCAATATATATCTCATATAAAACAAAAAAGGAGATTAAATGACCCAAAATAGCCAGATACAACTTAAGCTGTGTTCACACTATCACGCTGAAGTGACTCAAATCTGATTTTTTTTGCCCAAATGCGACTCAAATCTGATTTTTTTCAGGATTGTGTGGACATACAAATCCAATATTTTCAAATGTGTGGCACAAGATTGGATACGTATCCGATTTGTGGCCATGTGACATGAATGTGAATGCTCAGGTCAGAATACATGTAGTTTGTTGCCTATATGCATGCAGTGCACATTTCTTTGTTGTTAGTGACGCAGATGACTTGTGCAAAAATGTATCAGTGTGCGCAAGCGAACCATTTCAGAGGTCAGATGGGTTCACATTAGTTAGCTATAGGTCACTTGAATTATGAATGTGAACCGTCAAGATAGTGAAATCTAATCTGAGCAAAAAAAAAAAACACAGCATTGACAATGTGGCTTGTAATGTGAATGTAGCCTTAGTCGGTGAAATAAGTTGGTGCCAGACAAGACAGCCGACACATATGATTACTGCACATGTGCACATTGTGATAATGCTGAAACGATATATTGTGCAGCCCTACAACAGAAGCTTTTTGGAGAGACTAAATTTGCATGTCAGTGTTGAAGTAACAGTTGCATTCGTCATTATTCAATACTTAAAACATATATATATTTTTTTTCCATTGTAATGATCAAATGGGCCAGCTTTTGCCCAGGTCCGTGTTAAGATAAAGGTTAAGCATCACACATTGACACCCGCTAAAGCAAAGGAGTTTCATCACTATTCCTATTGCCATTTGGAGCTATAGAAGCAGAGAGTAGCTAATAAGGGCTAGAAGTCACATGAATATTATTACGTATCTGTTAATGGGTTTGTGTATGAGGCACACGTTGAAACTCACCGGTAGTTGGGCCACGTCCTGTGACTCGTCCATACTTAGGTGGAGCGACTGGGCCCGTTTCCACGGAGCTGGAGACCTACAGGTCTATTCTCTCTGTCTGTTGGAAAGATACACAGCACCCAGCTTTAAGCACGTTCATCAGGTCCACAACCCAACCTAGTACCACCACACTGACCTATGAAAGAAGCGTGCCACAGGAAGCAGTATCCTTGACAAGCCACCTAACACACATTCTGTGAGCATTAGTCCAGATATTCCTCACTCATTGAATGAAGGCTTCATAGCCTGAGGTACAAACAATTATTTCAATAGATCCTATACGGCAGGGGTGGTCCTAACCAATGTGGTGGCCTACATGAGCATCACCGCTGGAAGACCCCCCCCCCACCAGTGGCAAAGTGAAATTGGCTGGCAAGTCAGCATCCCTTCAAAGGTTGGTGTCCTAGGGGCCCCCCCATAGGATAGACCGCTGTAAGAATAAGACGCCATGGACCCCACAAACATTTATACAACAGCACTATCACAAAAAGGGAAAACAGATCAGAACATTAAAAGATACTGACAATAATAAATGTGAAGAAAACATACCCACCTATTTTTCAACTGCTTATCCAGTACAGGGTGACAGGGTAGATTGTAACATCTTATATTTATTGTATTAGCCATTATTGGACCTTAAAAGCCTGTTTTCAACTGGAAACCAAGGCTGTCACAGCAAAGTGAGCAACCTTATTTATCTGAACAGGAGGGAACTAGAAGTCATGTTAACATCTTTTAATGAATTTGTAGGACAGTAGGGAGCACAGACACTAAGGAAGTGGATTTATGATGGAGTTTCCAGTCCCAGAAGAGTTCTGCTGAAGCCTTTTCAAGAGACTCATAACCTGAATTGACTTAGTAATTTGTTCTAAATGGATGAAGTACAAAATGTTAAGATATGGGTCTCTGAACCGAGTCTACTTAACAGATAAATAATAATAATAATAATAATAATAATAATAATAATAATAATTATTATTATTATTATTATAATAAACCAGTACAAGAACAACTTTGCATTATCATCATATTACCTACATATTTTAATGCTTACAGCCATAGTACGTAAATAGTTTAAGACATTACAGAAGTAAGTTTCCCTGAATGCCTACATCTCTAATGTCTCAAAGTTCATTCATGCTTGCCCAGTCTCTGCTCTGAATCCATACTATCAGCATTGGAAGGCCATTGAGAAACACCTGCTGCTAGGTCTCCTAGCAACTCCATCCACCAGGAAGTGTGAAGGAAAAATAAAAAAATACAGAACGTATGCAGAGAGACCCAACCAGCCTATAGCTTGTGGCAGTATATCGACCTGTCTGCAAGCATGGGCGCGTTTGTGTGGACGGCCTGTGTGAACTACTGAAGGCTTCCCACTCGTTACACATCTCATATCAGCCAGATACACATTTGAGAATAGCATGACATAATAATCACATTTTCCATTGTTATCCAATAAACACCACAACAACTACTAGTATTACCATGCTGCCCTGATAGTTATTTATCGGTTTGCACAAACATAGCTAAAGAAATGAGTCATGACTGGACAGCCCTATAAAGGCTGACAAGACTGCTACGAGCAGTCAATCATTCAGATTCATCCCGCGTTTGGACAGCAAAAACAAAGGCTACGAAAAAGGTAATTATTGAATAGTTCTCTATCATAGCTGTTGTGACAGCCGATTACAAATACAACTGGGCTGTTTAATTCCTGCTAATCAGGCAGGTTTGCTCATGTAACTGCAATGTCAGGCTCATGCCACTTAGTATAATACATTGTCACTGACATCATAAAATACGTATTTTTGTATTGTACCGTTATGTTAGTCGAAAACTAAACTATATTGTCAAATAAACTATAAAGTGCAATGCCTAAAATATCTTTACACATATAAACAACTCATTACAAAAACCTGACAATAAACCGATATCTGATTTTATAAACGAATTAAATCAGAGTATGGGTGAAGTAAGAGAGACGGATATATAATAGCGATACAGACACATTTCAAACCGCTTCAGCAAGGGACAAGCTGCGGATTTCTCCCAAAACCAAACGTCCGATTGTCCAAAATATGAAAGCACACTTCACCTAAACACACGTCCACCAGCAGGAATTCGGAAAGCAAAGCCGCGTTATACACCATCACAGAGCCGTTTACACTTATGTGCCGCCGGCTAGCGGCCAACAATAAAGTCGGACGTGAGAGCAGGGATTCAAGGACGGGGAGTGAAGGTGAAACCCGCGGAGCTCGCCGGTCCGGACTGGACCCAGTTTGCTTTAGCCTTCTGTTTATGTCAGTAATCCAGCTCGGTTTACTTTATCACCCGTTATCAGTGACTAGCCAGAAAGATTATAGGTGTGAGGCAATAAACTTTTAGCGTTTAGCGTACTCGGCCAGACTCATTGCAGCGGGTTAGAAGGCTAGACGTCGCCATACAGCAGCACGGAGGCACAAATATACTCACTAGCTAGTTAGTAAGTGATTTGCGGCAGCATATCAATCCGGCCAACGTATTGGGTTGCATTTGTATTGGCATGTATTCTTTGGACTGACGCGGCATTCATTTAAAAAAAATATTTTTTAATATATTTTTTTATATTATTTTATATATATGCAGTTACAGAAACAGATGTCCCCCCCATTATTAAAATGAGCATAAACGGGGAGAAAAAAAACTTTCCACTGTACATCTAGCATGACAGCAAGCTTGCTAATGTTACCCTAGCAAGCCGACACACTCTCGCAGTTCATACAAAGCAGTCTGGCCTTTAACCTAACTAATTAATAAGGACTCGTGTAAAATTGTTTACATGTGCGGAATATCGGATAAACTAAAGGAGAACTTACCATTAGTATACGAGGTTTTATTTGGGTCAACGTGCTCCGGTTTTTCGTAGTAATTCACTCCACTCGCCTCAATCTGTTGTTAAGGAGCACTATTTAGCAGGAAGTGCCGACGGCGCGCCGCTCACCGCGCATGCGCAAGCGCTACGGGCGTCCGTGAGCTGGCTTCGGTTCAAGTTTGAGACGAGAGAACGTACTTCCCCGAAGTATGCAAGTGCATGCGCCAAACAGTGAATCTTTTCTATATGAAAACAACAATAACTGTATGGAGAATTACGTAAAATGTATATTAGTGTGTATCGTTTGGAAATGGGATATTCAGCACCTTTCTCCTCCACACACTTTCTAACTGTAAAAATAACGATAAGTTGAGTATAGATTTTAAAATTATGGTCTTATATTCAAAAATATCCATCCATCTTCCATCTGCTTATCCAGTACAGGGTTGTAAACAGTTAAAATATACCTGCAGGAACAGACAAAATGACACGTGCAGACATCCACTGCAAAAAAAAATGATTTCAGCGAGGTGGATGCGGGACAACCTAGAGAGGGAGGGTGCTGGCTAGGCCTGGGCAGTATTACAGTAAGCCCCCCCACCCAGCCACGGAACCATCGGTAACCTGGGAGGTTTTATTGCACATCTTATGTTGGTCCCACAAAGATCACAACTCTCCACTCAGTATTTTATAATTTTATTGTTCTTAGTAATTGCCTTAAAAGCAGCATTTATAATAACAAATTTAATGTGTTAGTTGACACGATAAAAATATAAAAGCAGACTGAAACATCTCCATATATTTCACTATCAAGGCTTTTCCTCAACCTGAGCTTATGGCACGAGTTTTTTTTTACCTACTAGACAGGAATCGAGCTAAAAAATAAACCAAGAGGTATCTTGAGGCTTTGAAAAGCCACATTGAAAAAATACATGTCCCACTGAAATGAGTCCCATTGGATGAAGATTTAAAAACACAATTCAAACAGACTGAAGAAAACAGCCCAGAGTGCCACTGGTTTGAACAACCAGACTTTGAAAATGAACACAGACCGAAAAAACAGCACAAACTCATTGGTTTAAACAACCAGACAGCACAGTATTATTGTTCTGAGTGACCACCAGAGAAAAGAATCCGTCGAACAAACAGAAAGCATCATTTCACAAGCGGGGGCCCTGGATGCCTCTGTGAGTTATAGTGTTCTGGCTGTGAGAAGGTCGCTGGTTCAGATTCTGTGGCCGGCAGAGAAACATCACCACTGGGCCCCTGAACAAAGCTTTTAACCACAACTGTTCCATGGATGCTGACCGACCGTCACATTTCTGTCAGTTTGGACAAAAGCATCCAAATGCATCCAAGGCTTCTTGTCATTTCCAGATCAAAGCGCGCAGAAGACAGTTATTATGGATTTGACCTCAATCACTTAGCTTCATTCGAGTTATGTTATTGCTTGATCTCTTGTCAATTCTCCTTCAGGAAAAAATTAATCACCAAATTTACAGTACTATACAGTAGTATGTGTGTGTTTATATCAGGGTTGTAGTAATGTCACCGTAAGTCAGAAGTGGCTGAGTCCAAGTCTGAGTCATTATATACAAAACTGTGTTACATTATACATAGTCATTATACAGAAATGCACAAACACAGACATATGTAATGTACAAAACAGGAGTGTACTGGTTTTATTAAAACATTTTGTACATTAAATTTAGATTTTAGTATTCATATAGTGTTAATCAGAAATATGATACCTAGCAAAGAACTATTTGTATCAGTACTACATACAACTTAGTATTCAGTACTGTGGTGGCACAACAACATCTATAACTTTCGGCGGTGGGTTGGGAAGCAGACATATGAACCATTTCATGCATAAGTATTAATGGTAGGAGACCCCCCTATAATATGATATACCAATATTTGTTTGGCAGGTCTATAAGTAACTCTGGAAGTAGGCGTGCTGAGAGTGCCCCCCCTCCATTTTCCTGCTGTACTGAAATTGCACCAAACCATGAAGCCTAGCAGACAGCCATACTCATGCCTAGGTGTCTGTTTACATTACATAATCCAAAATCTGCCCAAACTGAAGTCTCTGCACATGCCTGCTCATTGATGATAGTACTGTGTCAGTCACTTAAGACCAGGCAGTGTGCAACTGGGCAAATATATTAATAGTATGTGAACAGCATAATTACAATAACCTACGTTTCATGTGATACTTAAAAATATTTCTCTCACGGGAATCTAATACTTGCCGCCGTGAAGAATCACGATTTGTACTTGAATTTTTCACCATACCTCTAATAAGCACTGGTAGACACATTTAGTAGGATAGCAGCTTTTCATGTTTTAAAATGAACTATTAATGTATATTGCAAGGTTTAGATGTCTTTTTGTAATTACAAATCACAGTGTTACAAGCAACTGAGTCCAAGTCATGAAACTACTGAGTCCAAGTGCAAGTCCGAGTCACATTTGTCTCAAGTCCAAGTCCAAGTCATGCAAAAATGCAACTTAAGTTGGACTCGAATCCTGGACTTGAATAACACAACCCTGATACATATACACACACACAAAATACGGTTGGTCCATAGTTCATAGATAATCAGAATATTAGTCAAGCATTTCATTGTGTGAACACATTTAATGCAGCCAAGCTTGCTGAAACTCTGGTAAAGACAGACACTCAAGCTGCACCAAATGCAACTCAAAAGGGAGGATGTGACATACAGGATGTGACATGGAGAGGAGAACATCATTGTAGTCTAGATTATGGAGAAAGTATTTTCTGTGTTACCATTGGCTTGTGCAGTTTAAAAATTGGCCATGCCCACTTTACTGTGTGTAATAAATGAAATGTGTCCAAAATTTCTAAACTTCTACGGAGTGCATTAGCAATGTGTTTACATGACATTTTATATAACATATATTTTACAATATAAATTCACAAAATAAATTTGTAATCAAAAATAGGTTGTGTGAATGGGTTTACCCTGGGTGAGGGTACTTACAGTGATGTACACGAGCTTGTGCTCTGGCTCTGCAATTCTCACATCCTCTGTGTTCACACATTCCTGGTCCACTGACCACAAACACATCAGAGAGGTTGCACTTCAAACGTGTTGCCGATTAGAGATGAAAATGCCGCCGACCACACCACCCAGCAGATTGGGAAGGAGGTAGGTCCCCCCTAATCTAAGGCCTGGTCAACTGAAGGTCCGTATGAGAAACCGGGAAACGCAGCAGCCGCCTCCTGCATGCTGCTGGTCACTGTGCTGCTGTCAGGGTTGCACAGGGAACCAGGCACTGGGAGGGGGGTGAATTCTGGGTCAAAATGCCTCAAATCAGTAGGCCCAGCCTGTAGGGCAGTGGTAGGAATAACATGGTACATCATGTCAGCACAGATTCTTTCAACTTTGGTAATCCAAATCTGTACACATCTCAGCTGTGCTACTCACCAGAGGAGGGACAAAAGGAGGCGGGGTCTTCTTGGCCATCAAGTCATCCCAGTTGATGGGCGAGAAGAAGGCGTGGCTCCTGACCTCCATCTATAGGGGATAAGACACACGGATCCACCTCAGCCCGCACCTCCGGAATTGCCGTTACACCCAACCTGATGCTGTGCAGAAATATACTTGTAGGCCAGATGAGAATACAAGCCTCAGCGGAACGCAGTAGTGTGTGTGTGCACAGTACTCACAAAGTCACTGCGTGCCCCCATTCTCTGAGTTCGGTCTTTATGCAGCAGAGCCTCCAGCAACGCCCGACCAGCATTAGACACATTGGGCTTGAGCACTGGGTCCTTGTTCAGAATGTTATTGTACATTTCATCTGTATTGCTACTGTAAAACGGAGGCTGTAACACAAATTGAAAGAGTGACAATCTTGTGTTAGCCTTCTCCATAGCACGCATGATGATGAGTAACCAGTTTTCAGACTAATCTTGTGCCACAAACATTCTATGATCCTTTCTTCTGAATTACTGTTTATAATCACAATTCAACAGCTAAAAAGTGTGGATAAAGAGTCTCCCACAATTAACCTCTTATATGAATCTATAGAATCAGGGCACCTGGGGCAGTGGTGGCCTAATGGTTAGGGAAGTGCACTTGTGATTGAAAGGTTGCTGATTTGAAACCGCAACCAGGACGGTACTTCGAGGAAGGTACCTCCCCCAAACACTATGCCCAGGCACTGAATTATCTGCCTACTTCTATGTCACGTATGAGCTAAACGCAGAGGGCATGTGTCATTGGTGTGAATGCATGTGCACTGTAGTGTGTCAACAATGACAATTAATCACTTTCACTCTATGCCAGTGCTTCAAAAATACAGAATTCAGCCATCTGTACACATAATAATCATCACTTAAGAATGTGGTCATGTAGCAGTGCTGATATATTTTTGAGTGACAACTATAGTGTCAAGGGGAACTAGAACTCTCAGAATGCAGAGCTTGGTGTGCGAGAGCTGCGTAGATGTGGTTGTGTGGGAAGACGAGTTCTCTACTCACCAGGCCGTACAGCATCTCATACAGAACAGCCCCCAGGCACCACCAGTCCACTGTGCGGTCATACGCCTGCTTCTGCAGCACCTCAGGGGCCAGGTACTGAGGATGGGGACACGTGACACTAATCAGTCATAGGAGGCCTTTTTTGAGGATGGTTAAATTGATGGTAGTTGGACTTACTTCTGGGGTCCCACAAAATGTGAAGGTGATATCATCGTGCCCCAGACTTTCCTTGCAAAGGCCGAAGTCCGTCAGCATGATGTGACCCTGCGAGTCCAGCAGGATGTTCTCTGGCTTCAGGTCCCTTTTAAGGAGAAGCAGAGAGATCACTGGACCATGTCCCCGAATCTAAAACATTGCGCTTAGCCTGTTGCTCAATGCTGCGCCAGATGCTCACAAACATAGTAGAGATGTAGCCAACAATGTTCTTTACATCCATCCATGTTCCATAACTGCTTATCCAGTAGAAGATCGCAGGGAGGCAGGAGCCTATCCTAGGACAAGGCAGGGGACGCCCTGGACGGGATGCCAGTCCATTGTAGGCCATACACTCACACTCATGGTCATACACTATAGGAAATTTTGACACACCAATTTGCCTAATTGCATGTTTTAGGACTGTGGAAGAAAACAGGAATACGTGGAGGAAACCCACACAAATATGAAGAGAACATGTAAACTTCACATACATGTCTTTGTATGTGACCGCAACCATGTCTTTTTCTAAACTGAAGTACAGGCAATGCAAGTTGGGGCCACCAGGGGGAGCTCTGACACGACCACATGACGTACCTGTATATGATGTGTATGCTGTGCAGATAGCCTAATGCACCAGCTATCTCTGCTGCATAAAACCGGGCACGTGGTTCCAGGAACACCCGCTCGCGCTGGAGGTGGCAAAATAGCTTGAGAGAGGGGATACGCAGCTTTAATAGACACACACAGACAGCCATGTTCAGCAGCAGTCACAGCTGATCACACCCTGAGTACTGTCCAGAGCGGGACTCACCTCTCCACCATTGGCATAGTCCAGCACAAAGTAGAGCCTGTCAGAAGTCTGGAAGGAGTAGTGCAGGCCCACCAGGAAGGGGTGCCGTAGGTTCTTCAGGAGAACACTGCGCTCGGCCATGATATGCTTTTGCTGAAGGGGAACAACAGTACTGAGGAATCACATTTGCTAGAAAAATGTCTCCTTCTCCATGATGTGACCAAACTCTCTTCTCATGCACCTCAGACACCGATTTATTTTAGCCAAAACTTAACTTATTCAAAATACACCAAACAATAAGCTCCAAAATATTATTTCCTTACGGGTGATCGTACCCCTACTATCCCAGGCCCACAATTAGTAGTGTTCACCTCTTTCTTCTTCAGTACAATCCTCTTCTGAAGGACCTTCACAGCATAATACTGGGAAGTTTCTTTGTGTCTGGCCAGGAGAACCTGGTTGGGCAGAGAGGCATTGTGGTATGTTAGCCAAACACCCCCACTAACATTTAGCTATGAAGACTGATAGCCCCTGTCGACTCACATTGCCGAAGCTTCCTTTGCCAATGACCCTGAGGTAGTCAAAGTCACAAGGTCTGACTCTGGAGAAGAAAGGGAGAAGAAAGAGAAAACAGGGTTAGCCTGGGCAAGGAAGGTAAGACAAGAGGTAAGAGAGCAAAATTGGTGAATGTTTAATACTTACTGGCTGTCCTCAGCCAGGGACGGCTAGAGGAAAATGGGAGAAAGGATTCATTTTATTACATATTTAAAGGACTCTGTAAATTGAAATGAAAAGCTCTCATTATCTTCTAAGGACCCATGCTCACCGAATTTGCTTTGAATCCTCCTTCAGCCTCCTCATTATGGTTCCCGTCAATCTTTAGGTACGTTCTGAAGTAAGACCTGGAGACACAGTGGCAGAAATAGCTTAAAATAGTTATGCATCACTTGTGTTTACCACTAGGGGGCAATATCATGCTCATTTTCCCCTCAGAGGAACACTGAGAACCATAATTATACAGTGAGAGCAACTTCTACAAAGAAAATAATCTGGGGAGCTATGTGTTTGATAAAAGGTATAAACGAGATGGGGTGTACACGCAAAAGTTAAAAAAATTTAATTAATTTTTTTATCCTATTTCTAAAAAGTCTTGGAAGCTATTTATTGGATTGCGAAGGATGCATTATTTGGCGACCACAGGTATGACCTGAATGTTGGGCTTCACCGGGAGAAGGGGAGTCTTATGCCTTGTCCACACGTACACGGGTATTTTTTAAAATCGTGTTTTTCCTCCTCCATTTAAAAAAAAATCCCCGTCCACACGAACATTGTCTTCTAAAATATTTCCGTCCACATGAAACCGCTAAAATGCGCTGTCAAGAGCATGCCAAACCAACAGGTGGCATTATAACTCTAACCGTACTGCCGTGTTAGCCAATCAGAAGCCTAATTGCCAGTCCTGTTAAGTTGAAAACAATGGCGCACACTCCATTGTCCCTGTCTACATGTGGACACTGAAGACAGAGTTTCTTAAAATCTTCACCATGGATGGAATTTTGCAAAAGCACCGTTTTCAGTGACCTAAGACGCCGTTTACGTGTGGACAAAAGCCCAAGACGTATAGAAAAAGGTACGTTTTTAAAAATACCCGTGTACGTGTGGACAAGGCATTAAAACGCAGTGATGTGTTCATATAGGATTTTGTGGTTATCCCTGGTCTTTAAGGAATTAGCACCATCTTGCTAATAAGTCAGTACAGCTACTTCTGTTTTGTGTCTGCAGGTGGACTAAGACGGTTCCATAGAACCAGAACTGTCATTCAAAACCCCCGTCTGGAGCTCACAGTTAATTGGATTAATAAAGGTATCCTGAGCTTAGCATGCGACTCAGACATGGGGCGTTGGGTCATGATAGGGTTATGAATGAACAGGCGCCAAGACCTTCTAAAAGAACATATGTACACTAACAACTAATCCACAGATTATACGGGCAGGATGTACTGTACCTTTCCATTATTACTACATTTAAGGGGCTTAAAACTGTACAAGTTCAGGCATTAGGCAGCACATGGATATGAGAAGACTAAAGAGAGCATAGGCCAAATTGATATTTCCTTGCAATAAGTGACAATTAAGTGATGTCACAGTTTTTCCATCCGTCACTTACCGCGGATATAAACCGGAAGTCAAAATTAGCTTCTGAATTAATTCGTTCCAACCAAGTTTTCGCTCCTTGATGAAACCTTTGATAAAATGGAGATGAATAAAAACAAAAACATGATAATTAAACCCTTAATTCGTTCACGTGTAGCTGACATTTTCAACCAGTGACATCTATCATTACTTATGTGTTTATGCATTTGGTGTTCCCTGTCAGTAAATTCATTAAATGATTTGAGTATCTATTTTTTAAAAGAATTACAGAAATCGGAATGGATTGTGCAAAAACATCTACAACGGATAAACATGTAATGTACATCAATAATAGGAATGGAATATAACCAATAGCCTATATATATATATATATATATATATATATATATATATATATATATATATATATATATATATATATAGTCAAAATTCTGCTAACCCAGCCGGCTTCCAGAGCTAATTATAGTGACTAAACCTCATGCGTCACTCGTTTTGAATTTGCCAGACTTAACACTGAGCATTTTGCGTAACACGTTAATGACGCCAACAAACAGATATTTTTTATGGAATGTTTAATAGTGTTGTACTCATGACAATACTATGCAAATTGCAAATCGAGTCAAAAGACAAATTTAAAATATGTATATTATACAAAATATGCAATTTGATCGATGATGTACAATTTGAGGTATTAAAATATAACAATTTTAAACTGTTTTCAATTACAGATAATAAAATACAAGCAATACGGATTAATGATAGAACTCATACAGGTTTAACTATAATGTTTCAATTGCTATAACAGATTTAATATAAATTCCATAATATGTTGCACAGTAGTACTGCACACTAAATGGCAATGGCATTAAATGTAGATAACCTACCGGCAAGAACTGATACAATCCTTCTCATTTTTGAATATGTAAAGTCGCATCTTGCTTCAGTAAAAGCCATCATATAATTTTCAGAGTAGACGACGAAACTGGCAAAACGTTGCAGATACTCCGAAGCGCATTTAAAACTGTGGGGAAATCTGCTTTCAGCGCCCACTACATTCAGCAAAGCCGCCGAGCGCACCTATTAACCCGGTATAGGACACGTGCTTCGAAGGGGCGGCACATCAACGTCACTGCTGTTACCATGGCTACCGGCGTAATAGACAGCATTATCACGGGACATAGCCACATATATAGGGTTGACCTCGTGGAGAGGCAATCATTGAGCCAATCATCGAGTGAACAAATGTAGGGAAAATATATAATTCAGCTTTTTCTTAATTTAGTTATGGACATGTCCTGCATTCCTTTATGTTTTGCTTTGAAAAGTTATAATGTGCCCTCCCCAAAACAACCAGGGTGGCAGCATCACCATGGGCTGCCCAGGGTTGCTATAGTAACAGGCACATGGCAGCATTGTTGACATATCTGGGAAAATCAGGCTTTAATTTAGATTGAGGACTATGTTCCACTTTGGTAGAACGCAGGGTGGGTCACCTGACATTTGGCCTACATGTTGATGGGTGAGCTGAAGTAACCTTTTCACTAGGCAGTGAGCTTTATAGGATCAAGGTCAGATTATAAAAGCAGTATTTTAATTTTACCACTGTACTTTAGTGGCCCTGGTGTGGTCACTGGCTGGTTTGTTTATAACCTGGTAGTCGTGTTGTGTTAGCGTTATTATGTCATCATTACTCGGTAAAATTCTGGAGGCACAGGCTGCTGAAACCTCATATGTCTCCAGCAGAGTATGAGTACATTTTGATGCCAGGCAGCTGGTGGATTCATAAATTGTTTCAGTTCCAATGTCTTCAGAGCAACCACTTATATTCTGACTGTGGAAATTACTGTCCCTCAAACTTTCACATTAAAGGCAACATTACTTTTAGATTTAAATTGCACATTTGTTTTCAGTTGCTGAAATTTACCTTGGTAGGGAAATGAGCTATAGCAGCTCCTGAGGAAGGGAAAACTGGCAGTTCAGGCGTCCATGAATAATAATTAAAAAAATAATGATAACCACCGAATACTGGGCTGTTAAGATTTCACACAGATTAGCTTGAAGAAGACTCAGTGGGATCTAAAAATATATTTCTAATTATTCATGTATTTCTATAATCTATAATGATTTTCATGAGAATCTATTTTTAAATTATTGCTATTTACTTAGTAGCACCTTTATAGAAATAAGATAACATTAGAACCATTTTAATTCTCAAAAACCAATGTTACATGAATATGTGTATCATAAGATAAAAAAAGCTTTGCCTGTTGTGTTCATTGATACCCATCAAATTTGACCCATTATGGTGACACTGAACCCAGCTAGTTAAATGTTTTGAAAAAAAGCAAAAAAGAAATGTGATATAACACATAGTAGTGGAAAATATTTATAATGGCCTAAACCACTGGTGGAGAAGGCGGGGGAGAGTGGGGGGGTTGTGTGCGACTGACCCCCCGGTGTCTTAGAGTGTCCCCCCCGTGTCCCAAAGTGCCCTTTTGACTCCCCCTCAGATGATAAAAATAAATGATTTAGGTTGCCCCTTTACGCAGTAATTTATTAAGATGTGCCCTCTAGGGCAAGAGAATTTGATAATGTGTTACAGTATAATGTGTGCCCTTCTAGCAATGTCGAGCATGAGATGGGGGGTGAGAGCACTGGTGGACTCGGGAGGGGGGCAACCTGTCCTTTTTGAAGGCTGGAACAAGCTCTAGATAAGATAAGTGGCGGCCCCATGACTGAAAAAATATTGCTGAAATGCCCTTTAGAGGCTGCCCTTCGCGTGTTTAGTGCCAAACTGCATCCTCCCTCCCCCCCACACACACTTTATCTGGCCCTCTAACGGCTGCTCGCCGCACACAAATATTACTTGTATGTTTTAGAAATTAACTAACAGGCATGACCACTAGGAGGAGCTGGAAACAGTTATCGGGAGAAATGCAAAACACTAGGGGTGAGCCGAACATTTGGTTGAACAAGAATCCAGCATGAATAATGCATTCTTTCTGAAGCCTGCCATCCGATCATTATTGAGCAGTATCCATGTCAGTGTCCAGCGCCTCTTTCTGTTTTCTACTGTGCATTATATTATCCATCCATCCATTTTCCGTGACCACTTGACCCATTCTGGGCCGTGGGGGGTCCAGAGCCTATCCTGGAGCCTATGTGCGCAAGACAGGGAACAACCCAGGATGGGGTGCCAACCCATCGCAGGGCACAAGGCAGGGAACAACCCAGGATAATGTGCCAACCCATCGCAGGGCACACTCACAGCAATGAGCAGTTTGGTAACTACAATTAACTTGAGCGTGTTTTTGGACTGAGGTGAGGAAACTGGAGAACCCAGAGGAAACCTCAGGACAACAGGGGGAAAACCTGCAAACTGCACACACACAGAACCCCGGGGGCCACCTTGACGGCCCGTGTTTCATTATGCGCCTTTTACAATCTCTCACTTAGACTTAGGCTTGGGCAGTACCATTGTAGCAAAATTAGCTGCCACCCAGACCTACTTAGACGGCTCGTGTACTTGTCATGGATCATGTTGCACTTACTTTTTTCCCTTGTGTGTGTTTTACAGTATACAGTGGTATACAGCATTTTGCCAGTATTTTGAAACAATATGTTGATTTCTTGGTAACATACTAGCCTATGTGTGCCTATGTATTTCAGTTCTTTCATGCTAATTTAAGATGTTCTGCAGCCTAACTAGAGAAACCTGTAGGGTTTGGTTGTAAATGTGTTACATCACAAAATTAATATAATTAAAATAGGTGCATTACAGATTTATATTGCTTGCATGTACTGGGCTAATACCGGAGTGACTAATTGAGATATAGATGGAACCCCTAGACTCCAATATCAAATTCACCCTATCATACTCGTTAATATATTTTATGGCCTAACTGCAGACTGAAGTTGCCCATCCCTGGTGTTGTGTAACTGAGTTCAAGCCAAGCAAAGAGACAGTGCAGTGCTGGAGAGTATCACTGGTCTCAGCAAAATGATGCAACCAGGCCTCCTATCATGTATCATAGCCTCCCTACTGTAACCCTACAGCAGAGGGAGAATGTGTAACTCAGCATCTTCCTGCAGCCTGGCCCCAGCCCAGGGGATCTAAAAAGGAAGGTGTGTGTCGGAGTCATGGCCAAACAGCCAGCCATAAAAAGGCAAGTGCTGCTAAGAACCAGTTTTTGTATTATTTACATTTTCTCCTGTCCATAAATTATGCACAAGCCCTGAACTTCAGTCATTCAAGTTACTGCAATAAATGTTGCAGTGGTCAGCTTTGATTTTAGGTATCAGGCATGTGTCTGACTTTTACATCTGATGTTATTAAGTAGCCATTCCCAATAGCCTAAAAATTAGCCAATTCAACATGAACCCCCATAGCTCCCTATAGGGTCAAGCACCTAAACAGCTAATGCTCAGAAAAGTGAAATGCAATAACTGCAACGTCTTTTTCCAAATTTCTCAAAATCATTTTCCATTGTTTTGCTCAGATAAGATTGTTTGCTGATATAAAACTATAGCAATGAGAAAAGACTGTACTGTAAGCCTGACTGGCCTGCTAACAATATAAATCCATCATTGTGGAGTTGATGCAGATAGGACAGCTCGCTTACAGAATAAACCCAGTGACACAAACTCAGTAGCACTGATCCACTCTCAGGAGTTGTACCAGAACATTGTACAATAATGCCGCATTATGTAACTCGACTAAATGTAACAAGATTTAATCACATAGTGTGGTGCCACTCTTTATTTGACCTTTTGCCTGCTTCACAAAGATGCAGAAGTCACCCGAAATGGATCAAAAACCCACACTGATGCTCTTTTTTGAACAATGCAATAATAATGATGATGACAACAATAATAATTAATAATAACAATGATAATAATAGTAAAAGGCTAATATTGCATTATAAATTTATAATGCAGGCTATTATTTTGATACAGTTTGGTGTCACATGGTGTTACAGGAATCCACTGATGCAAACCCAGCACTGTAAATCTAGCAGCACCAGGCATGAAAGGAGCTGAGCTGCCCAACAGTAAAGACCCCTTGTATGGTGTGTTATCAGCCTTGGGTCAGCTCAGTGTCCAAGCCCAAGCCCAGCTCACCCCGTGCCTTACTTTCAAAGCTGTCACTCATTCTGATTAACCAATGGTTGTGCCTTCGCATGCTTTCTAACTAACTGCCCCGAGAAGGGTCTAGCTGCAGATGCCTGTAGAGTGGAGCTCCACCGGAAATACGTCACCTCCACAGGAAACACAGCGAATAAACCCAAACCCTAATCCTAACCGGAGCTCCACTTTACGTCCTTATAGATCACGTGTTTCCTGTGGAGGTGACGTATTTCGGGTGGAGCTCCACTCTACAGGCGTCTGCAGCTAGACCCTCTTGACTGCCCCTGTGTAAAACTTCCACATCACACACACACCCCCCCCCCCCCAAAAGAAAGAAAAATCAGGCAGGGCCTCCAAACAGAAATGTAGTTTTCTTCAGAACATCCTCCACTAACATAGCAGGAGTCCATGGGACTTCCGGACCTTATTTCAGAGCTTTGAAAATAATTAATAGTCCTTGATTTTTTTTCTGCTGAAAAACGTTTGTCTCTATGCAATGGTGGCTAAAGCTACAAGGAGGCAGCGCTTCTCCAGCATTCAAGCAAAGGCGGCAGAATTCTGATTACAGCAGGCATATCACTTTGTGTTCCTCTGAAACTCGTATCTACATTTTTGTAATCTTGATGCAAACAGTAAAGGAATAACTGAATGCGTATAACTATTTCATGGCTTAAGGGCGTGTATAATTTTTTCAGGCCTAATAATAATTAATGACGGTGATGATGATAGTTTATGGTAAAATAGGATTGTTGATTATGTAACGGCCCGTATCATCAATGCAAGAGATATTGCCTATTCCTGAGCCTACCAAAAACCATATTTTTACATTTGGTCAATTACTGTTGTAATTGGATTTTATGAAAAGTGCCTTGCATGATATCCACACCCTCTGATGGGAAAAAAACAATGGAACATAGCAAGAACAAAAAAATTAAGAATAAAAGACATATTGCCTATAGCATTTAAAATCTCCACTTGACCCCTGCCTAATGGTAATTGAATGGTAATGGAAATTAAACAGGCATGTCCCGAAAGATGATACGACAAAGTACAAGGGGTACAATTGGGGGAAAAAATCTATGTTTTATGTCAAAAAAATGTCATATCCAGAATTATTAATGACTTTCTCAATAGTCAATGAAAAAGACTGCTGCGGGCCCCACATGGGATTAGTGTGGGTTTGCCCTGCCCACACTGGCCCACAGTAAACCCACACCTGCCCATGCAGGGCCTAAATGGGCATGTTTGCTGGGAAACACAGTTAATGACCTGGTAAAATGATCCTGCTGACAGTATTTTACCTCTAAACTCTGTGGTTGACAGCTTGCCAGTTATTCAACTGCATACATTCATATAAACCTACAAAAATACAGTGACATAAATCAAAACAGTCAGTACATCAGCCCTTTAACGGGTCTGGAGCTTAATATGAAAACAGCCCTCAACGCTTTAGCATGCTACTGCTATTCACTGGCAACAGGTCTGTTAGCTTTGCATTACCGTGTATTACCGTGTATGGCTAAGCATCTATTTTTCATCCCATTACGGCTAAAACTCTGAGCTTTACACGTTATTTGCACAGCTTCACAGCACTTGTCTGTCTCACTCAGGAGTATTTGCATCTCTCTTGGAGGTATTTTAACCCACCTGTAGTTGGGAACAAAGAGGCACAAAACTTCAGCTGACGTTCAGCTAGGCCCCTATGGTGTTTTAGGGTTCCTCCCTAGCGGTAAGCACCATCTAGTGACCTATTTAAGTACTGTCCTGTTAAGTACAGTGTTCACAGCACAGCACCAAATAAAATGAGTTTTACACTTATAACAACAGCAAACACTAGGAAAATAAAAAATATTGGGGTGTCTTATTTGAACTCTTCTAATACCTTTATAAACTGTACCACTATTAACATTATACTTATCATTTTAAAATAGCATTCCTGTTAGTGTAATGCAAGCAAAGCCTTGGGTCCCTTTATGTCAGAGCTAGATAAGATTTTAACTTTTCACTAATTTTTCAGTCATTTTGATTCGCCTATAGTGCACTTAAACCTCACACTTATAGTCGATAGAAGAATATGCTTAAAGGCTCATTTATGCTCAATGTTAAATACATACACAGATAGGAACGGAGAATTCTGTCCATATTCTGTGTTTTTTTTGTCCGCATTTGTGCATGTTTTCTGAAAGCTTACGGATATAGACGAGACAGAGCAGTACCACCAGAAATCATGGGGGTCAGTGTTGCCAGTAGTTCAAGCAAACGTTTATCCCATCCATCCCTGGGTTCCTTTAAATCAGAGCTAGATAAGATTTTAACAGCTCTGAGATATTACTGTAGTTCAGTTCTCCCCAAATGAGCTTGATGTGCTGAATGGCCTCCTCACGTTAAATTTCTTATGTATGTTCTTATCCATTTTCTGAAACTGCTTGTCATGGGGCTTCGGAGCCTATTCTGGAGGCTATGGGTGCAAGGCTGGGAATAACCCAGGATGGGGAGCCAACCCATCACAGGACGCACTCACACACCATTCACTCACAGTACCTGGAGGAATCCCCGCAATGATACGAGAAGAACCTGCAAAGTCCACACACTGAGCCATGGCAGACTCAAACCCTGGTCCCAAACCACTAACCACTGCTCCACCTTGCCACCCTACAAACATTTATGCAGATAATTATATTATGCACATAACATATTATAGCAAGCACACAAGACATTATATTGTGTGCTCTACGTAATCTGGGTATTGAGCACCCTACTTCAGTCTTCGAATGTTACCAAGACATTCTCGTTACATTCTTGTTACACTATGATAAAGTTTGTGTCATATTTAATATTACGTTTTCCCAGCTGTAATATCTTTTAACAAAAGCAAGCCAGACAGATTTTAGCTACATTAATGATGTCCAGGTCACAGAAAATGATGCACACTAATCCTTTTTGTGATTCATGCCCTTTCTCTAGTTGTGTTTAATCTTGTTAACTGCCAAAAAAATATCTTATTTCCACTGTAACAAGATACTGGTTCAGCATTTTGAGTGAATGGTAAGTCTTGTATACTCCTTGCATCTCCAGATTTCTTTATGGGCAAATTTTAATTAATTATCGTATGTCCCGAGTGTCCATTCATAGCATACCGAGTGTCATAACTGTTCTAATAATTATAAAATATGCTTGTCATATTAACTAATTAATACTCAAAACTGAACGTGAGGCTCATGGAAATTTCTGACTTTCGGAATTGTCTGACTTTCGCCGACCTGCGGCTTTGTCTATCGATTTTTACGTACAAACATTTACAGTATGTATTCACAGTGTATATATATATATATATATATATATATATATATATATATATACACACACACACACACACACACACACACACACACACACACACACAACAGAGCGTGAAGTACATATATGAACTACTTTAGAAATAAGATTTTTCTGCTTGTTACAAAGTATAGATGAAACTAACACCGGAACTGTCCTGTGATTATGTTATGCCAAATCCTCGTGGACCTGTAAGAGCATTTCTGTAAAAACGTTAATTATAGGCACATTATGTTCTGCTCTTTATGCAACGATATGTTGTAGATAAACCATCGATTCAGTGAACCATCAATTCGATCAGTGATTCAAAAACAGTAAATGCCCTTTATATATAACATATTTTCTTCACTATTTATTTAATCTTTCTTGATTTTTTTTTCTCCATTTATTTTTAACCAACCCCCAGTATTTCGTACGTTAAATTTGATTTAGTACCGTCATCGATTACGTTATGTTTAAGGTGTTCTGTAGTTACAACGCCATTCGTATGCACTAGCTGGCATATGACGACTGAATTGCGTGGCATACCTACAAAGCGCATGCGCTTAAAAAGGTTTAAAGCGTCGTGAGTATATGACGTCGTTCTCAGTCGGCCGACGGATGAGGTTGGGTGATATGGCTTGTGTGTTAGTAGGAATGTTGGTGTCAAGAAAATCTGGAGTTAAAAAGTGGTATATATACACTTTGATTCCACCGTAACGTTCGTGACTTTTCAACGGTAAGAGCGCGAATTACCTTATGTTTTGTGTAGTTCGCGTTCGTAAAGGAAAGAAAAAAATCCATGCTTTACCTTTATATTAATTATTGGTTCTAGCAAATTTTGTTACGTTTTGTACTTAAAGTTATTAATTGAACTTAATCATGAGGAGCTTTATAACTGTATGAATAAGATGTAGCCAACAAGCCCTAATGCTGTTTATTGTTTGTCACGTGTTTGTCCCAGGCCCGTAGCCGTAGATGAATTCTGAGGCGGTAATGGCCACTTTCAGGGATTTTACTACGTGCCTGGTATGAACTTATATTTGTAAGCCAGTACATTATTATAACGGGTTAAGTTCCCTACATTAAGTATAGCTTTTTATTGTAACAATGTGGAACATTTGTTAACCTACCTGCGCTCCACTCTTTAAGATGCGTGTTGTGTAATGGCCACCTACGAGGACGATAGAGGATCTTTAGTATCTATGCTCTGTACTCGTGAGTTTAATTTCTTTAATGTATTATCCGTTCATTTTGCACATGGCGCAGGTTTATCCAGCAAGGCAGAACCAACAGTGGCCCTGTCCTTTCCTGTATTGCCTGCTAGATTCACGTGGGGTGGTTTGAGGCCTTGCCGTGCTCTATCCATGGCAAGGTTATAGAAACCTCAGACAAAATCTTTGTATTGACTTTTTTAACCATTTATTGGCTATATGAGGTTGGAAACTGTATGGTATTTGAAACTTGTGGGATGTGCATTGCTTTTCAGGTGGAATGCCTGTGACAGATGAAGTGTCTCCTACAGCCACATGGTCAAAGCCAGGAGAAACACCCCAGAGCAGCCTTGCCCCTAAACTGTTGGTGGACTATCAGCGCACCACTGCTTAGCAGACCATACAGGTACAGTAGTCTGCTGTAAGACAGTGCAGGTCAATCCAGCAAGGCAGAACCGATGGTGGCCCTGTCCTTTCCTGTGAAGCCTGCTAGAATCATGTGAGGTGGTTTGAGGCCCTGCCGTGCTCTCTCCATGGCAAGGCTATAGAGACCTCCGACACTCGTTACACTTTGTAGCCATACTGCATGCGTGTCACAATGAACAAGGTGGTGTCGTTTCAGATGTGTAACTCACTGTAAATTGTTCTTGCTGACCTGTTTGATTTTGTTTTGTCTGGACATTGTTTGAGGTGTGTGGTCACTTTAAGTGAAACTATTGACTGATCTTTTTCAATCGTTGCAGACATGTTGTAAGGAACTTCGAGACGCATCGCCCTGAAATCGAAGCGCTGGTGCCAAGTGATGGCAAAGAGATGGATGAGTTGATAACGGGTGGTGATGTCTAAATGAAGCTTTCTGAAGCTGAGGCTTCCTTTGCAAATGTCGGAAAAGGGTTAATTGCTCGGAGTATCGCCGCACGGTGCACAGTAGCAGCACCTGGTGGTGAAAGGGAAGCATCTGTTAACTTGCGTGTGCTGTGTTTAATATCAATTCATTCAGCTTGTCTTACAGAACAATTTCTTATGAATAAAGGCCATTAGAAACACTAAATGCGGTGTCTGAGCTTTTAATTTTATATGAATAAATTGTATCTCAATGAAGCTATTATACATTTTGCCATCAGCCACACATGCATTTCGGCGGCATATTAGGGCCATTGCAGATTTTGAGAAATCCTGAGCTTGGGTGGGAGGGTAATATGAAAACTAAGGAGGGGGAGAAACTTCTGAGATGAAAGGCAAACATGAGAAAGGACATTCTCTTGATCTCAAGTGTTTCTTTTTTTTTTTTTGTGTGTGGAGGGGTTGAGCAGATGGAATATGCTAGCTGTTTGACCGAGCTTTAACTGTTACACGTCTTATAAGGGGTATCTCCTTCATTCACAGGGAGTGGTCAGATCAAAAGGCTTTTTTTTTTTTCTTCCAAAAGGCATTTTTAATGGATGTTGCAGTTTGATTATATTACATAGGTGGAAGTTGCATGTGTTCCTCAAGCCCATGGGAGAGTTCAGTATTTCATAAAATGAAAGTGATGTAATCTTAGGGAGTTTTTGATTTTTTTTCTTATAAATTTATGACTTTACATCCTCAGAGAATATTGTTTTTTTTTTTCTCAAGTGTTTGGAGATTGGCACAAAACATTTGGAGTCTAGGTGTTTGCAAAGAAACCAAATCCACAGTGTGAAGGTTTAATTAAAAAAAGTCACACCTTTGCCAAAGCTGACCCATACATCCCAGTAATGAATTATTTCCAGGATTATAATTTCTATTCACCTGAAGTCTTTTTGACTGCTGGGTCACTGCTTTTTCATGTATGTTTATGGGGTCACAATATCTGATGGCAGCTATCAGAAAGTGTGACCCCTCTGCCTAAAGTAAGCTTCCAAATAATTCCAATCAACCACTTCAACAGGTGCACAACTCAAGTGCACGCCACGTCTACACCGCTTTCTCACAGTGCAGCAGTCCGGAGCACTCTAGCACCTCAGGGCTGTGTGCTCAGTCCTCTCCTCTACTCCCTCTTCACACAACTGCAAACTGACCCATGATTCTAACATTATCGAGATTTCAGATAAATACAACTGTGATAGGTCTGATCTCGAACAAGAAGAAGTCATCCTACAGGTAAGGTGGTTGAGAGCCTGGAGCGCTGGAGCCAGGACAACAACCTTGCTCTGAACTGAAAAGAGACAAAGGAACTGATCCTGGACTTGAGGAGATGGAAGCACGTGGGCCTCCACCCCATTACCATTGGTGGTGAGAAAGTGAAGACGGTTCCTCTGCATTCAAATCAGCTGTGACCTGTCATGGACCACGGACACATCACTCAGACAAAAAGGACAGAGGCTCCACTTCCTGTGGAGCATGAAGAAAGCAACTTCCACGGCAGCTCCTGGTGAACTTCTACAGGGGCACCACAGAATCAGTGATCACATACTGCATCACTGCGTGGTACTCTGGATGGACCTCGGAGAACAGGAAGACCCTGGAGCACATCAAGACAGCCCAGCTTTCACTGGTGTAGCCACAGAGCTGGAAAAATAATCAAGGACCCAACCCACCTTGGACACAAACTTAATGCACCCCTGCCATCTGGTAGACACTGCAGAACCCTGTAAGCACGCACAACCTGACTGAGGAACAGTTTTTACCTCACATCCATCATGCTTCTGAACTCACAGCACTGATCTCAAACACTCTGATGCGATACCCTAACGTGCAATATATTTATGTGCATTTAAACCACTTGATAAACTCTACCTCTGTGAAATTGCTCACCCACCAACTTGTGTGTGTGTATATATACACTCACCTAAAGGATTATTAGGAACACCTGTTCACTTTCTCATTAATGCAATTATCTAATCAACCAATCACATGGCAGTTGCTTTGATGCATTTAGGGGTTGGGTCCTGGTCA